AATTTAGACTTCCATTGGACATATATGGCATAACAAAAATATAATCATTTGTCTTTGGATTTTGAGACACCCCATAACATTGAATAATATGTCGCATGGTGGAATTAGGTTGACTTTTAACAATATTTTGTAACTGTAGTAAAAAAATGCCAAAATTTTAGAGTAATTTATTTATATGAATCAACTATTAATTCACAAAATTTGGTTTGTCGAAATGAGTGATTGGCTGATAAGCGCCGATTTCAACCAATCATTTGCTTCGGTAAACCAAATTTTGTATCTTTGTCATCACAAAATACAATATTCAATAATTATCCGACAAATATTTATGATTATGAATTATTTTTGTTAATTAAAAGTGCGAACTATAAACTATTAGGCATAATAAATGTTGCGACTGATGCTGAAATTTAGACCTATTTTGATATGAAATCTTAATATTTTTTCCGTTTTTTTTTTTTTAGGGCTAGGTTAGAATCGGTGTAGCTCACTTCACTGACGCTCATTTCGTAGTTGTAACATTTCACCGGCACTCTAAGATGCGTGTCGGTAAAATGAGTGTCGCAAAATAAAATGCCGGTTAAAGTGAGGCGTAACGGTTAGAATTTGGGCTAGAATTGATGAATAAATTGTATATGTGGATCTTAGCAGGGTTTATATTTTCAAATTGAGACCCAAATTTCAGCATCAGTCGAGACAATATATAAACTGTAGTTATTTTAAAACTATAGTTAACTACAGTTTTAAAGTAAACTATATTTATACTAATCGTAAATTATAGTTCGCATCGCGTTATTTTTTTTTTTGTTATATCACAATCATGTTTGTTCCCGCAAATGGAAATTTGAAAATCATGACCATAAATTGCCAGATAGCATTACCGTATTTTGCAGAATATAATACCCTTTGTGCCAAATATTGTAGATTTCCTTTCTGACTGCTTGTTGTAAACTAATGTGACGTGTATTAATTGTGATATTTAATTTTTTATGTGTAAAAAAAAAATTTTGCCTAGATGCTTTATTCCGCAAAATACGGTAATATCAATATTGAATGAAATCTCTCTAATCATTTGTCCGATTAGACAAATTTTGCGATATTAATCGATTACAACATATATTTAAGATTTATCTAATATTACCTCTTTTAAAAATTCAGAATCAATATTTTGTGATTCTTTAAGGATTTTTAACACAACAATTTTATTCTCACTTCTTTTAAATCTACTTGTTCTTTCATTCCAATCAGATATTCTTCCTTTTGTCCATTTAGCAGCATAGATTTCACTAAAACCACCCGTTCCAATTCGTTTTATATCTACAAAATCGTTGAATGGAATCCACTCTAACCTAAACTGAGGTTGGTTATTATACGTTGCTTTGATCAATTTGTCAATATCTTGATTTCCGCTATTAACATGATAAAATAATGAATAATTGTAGCAACTGTCACATAACTTCTTCTCATATACAAGCGCTTTTGTTCTATTACAGTTGGCGCATTTAGTTAGTTTGGAATGGCAACGATTGCACAGTTCATCCGATTTAAGTTTTCGATTTTTATTACAGTTAACGCATTTTTTTCCAACATGCTTCATAATTATTGTGGTCTTGCTATTATATCTGGTAAGTAAAATGGCTGTCACAATGTCTATCTTGCGAGCGAAATCGCTGTCACGAAATGTATAATTTAATAATTTACGTGAATTTGCGAAAGAAACTTTTTAATGAATAGAAAATGTCAGAATAAGGTAAATATCAGGATAATTAAAAGTAAAAATCGAGTTCATAAAGGAAATCATCGGAGTCGTTTTTTAAAAAGCAAAATTTTGCCTTTTACGTATTTAAAGAGAAAATAAAAATATTTATGTATATATTTAGCGCGTCACGTAAGATGGTGCTTTAATTGTTTGAAGATTCAACATTCAATATAATTACTACAATATAAATATATATATGATCAATATACATAATTAAAAAAAGGAACGTCTATTTTCACCATGAACAATACTAATTTCGCCATTGGGGTTTCAAAATTAGCAGATAGAGGCCTGCATTGGGTCCCGCAGCCGGCCCGGCCCGACCCGGCCTGCAAAAATTTGCAGGAGCCTTCACCCGGTGTGCAACATACAAAAAAATCATTTTAAAATACCAGATCATTCCGCTAGTACATGTTATGATAATAATCCCATACTATTTTTATTATAATAAAATGGTATGTGATTATATTCATAACATGTATTAGCAGAATGTTCTGGTATTTTAAAATGATTATTTGTATGTTGCACTCCGGGTGAAGGATCAGTCGTGTAACTTTGACGGTTCCTCCTGTTAGCAGAAAATTACGTATGCAACAAAATAGTATAAATCTGGATTTTTTAATTTTAATTTTGAAATCCCCGATTGATGTAATTTTCATGAAGTGGTAACGGTAAATTTACATAGTAGAAATAAACATTCCCAAAATGATTTATGTTGAAAGAACTTTGTAATATTCCTTGATTGGAAAGCACATATCTTACGTAATATTTTTCATCTTTGCAAATCTTGAAACCCATAAAGATGCGTTTTAGTCTTTATGTCATATAGGCTGTGCAATACGGATGAAAAATAGGTTAGATTCGAATTTCAATTGATGATGATCTGACATTATAAACAAGATTTTTATTAACGATCATCGTTTCTTTTAAAGCATTTTATATAGACGTTCATCACTCCTTTTAAAGCAATTCAGAGATTATGCACATTCTTTTCTACGTAACAATATACAAATATAGTGTCACATAATACACAACGTGAAGTATAAGTGTAGAAATTTACGGTTTTACTGCATTTAGCTTATTGTCCAATCAGATATTAGGCTTTGCGAATATACACATTTAAAAATGCCATAGTAACCATATGCTTCGTAATATTTACAGTACATTTAAAATGGTTAAATACATGGTTTACGAAAAAAAACTCATGAACATTGAAAGAGGAAGTAATACATAAATGTATCACGAGGCTGTACTATTCAAATAATCAACGAATCAGAAAGAGTGACCTAATTCTCTTAGGAAGATGATTACATTGTTTCCAAAAGCCTATTTTTGTAAATATTATTCTTTAAAAATTTCCAAATTTAACCCAGATCTAAGTATAATGAAATTTGTGATATCTTTTAATTACGGAAAGTAAAAGACAGTGTATAAAATCTATGTAAACAAAAAAAGGTTCACATGTTTTTTCCTCGAAATGTCATGTAATCACAAACTTTTGCACTAAATAGTTCACCATAATCATTTAGAAAATAATACCAAAGATGTGCACATAATTTAATTTAAATTTTATATATGCAATTATATAAAAAAAATTTATAAAACACAAATTGTTAAAATTATTCACATAAATTATGTGCGCACTGTGTACAAAGATTCACATACTTTTGAGTTCAGATTTTATGCACCGCTAAAAAAAAAAATTCAAAAGCTGGTTCAATTTAACAATTGACCTTGTAATACAGGCAATATATATATATATATACATATAAGTAGTACTGAAATAGTAAATTCAAATTAAGAAAGAAATACAAAAACTCTATAAAGAACAATTTTTTTATTTTTTAGTTACTGTATTTAAATAAATTTACCTACCTGCATTGATATTACTGTATTTTTGTTGTTTAATCATCTTGAAAATTTTAATAACATTCCGAAGATCAAATTACTAATCATATTTTATAAATATTCAAAAATTGGTATGACACTAAAGAATTTGAACAAGAATAAAAACATTTTTTGCAACATTAATTTTTTTTTAACATTAAGCAGTTATGCTAGTACTTTATTAAGATTCTTGAAACTATATATATACAATTACATAGAATTTCCCAATGTTTGAGTTTAGTATCACTTGGCCATCCCAATGGTACCTAAGTGCAATCTGTTACACTATCTTAGTTAGAGATAGACTGCTTGTTTAACTACTTAAAGCTATACTAGAAGGGTTTTTCTCTTTTAGTAACAAGCATATTAATTGTTTTTCAAATTTCTTTCTTCTGGAGCTTTTAATAAATGACAAGCTAATTCTACTAGAAGAGACTCTTCTGGTTTTGAATTAGTAGATAATAAAGTAAGGCATTGTACCATTTGCTGACAACCTGGACATAATGCTTATACTTGCATAAATATAAATAACTCAATATAAGAAAAAATTGTTAGTTTCTTAGTTTAATATAAATGTAAAATTTCAGAAATAAAATTATTTTCATTATAAATTAGATCTGTAAAATGAAATTTTAAGTTTATAACACTTGATCTTTATTAATTTTTCTTGAGTACATAAATATAAATATAAACAAAACATAAAACACTTTTATTATAGATTAATAAAACAGTTAAATTATGCCTTCTGACATCACTTTTATAGAGTTTTTAAATAAATAAATAAAATAGTTGATTTATTTAAGTTCATGGTATTTGCATAACCTTTTTAAGAAAGTTTTAGTTATAAATAAGTTATTAATACAATAAACTACTACAACTAATCTGTTAAATCATTGAATCTAATAGAGTCATTAAATAAAATACTTGGAAATACATAGACAATTGTTGAATAAAATACTTGAAAATAGACAATCATTAAATATCTAATCTGATTTGATGCTTATGTGTTATGTAACATTATTAACCAATTGAATTTTAGATAGCTGATGATTGTTTTACATAAACACATAATATTAAAAATTTACATTATAAGGGGTACAAATAATAAATATGAAAGTATAAAAAATAATTCTTTTTTTAAATATTATCAAGCAAAATTTTATTTAAATATTTTAAAATTTAAAAAATATAGATCATAAGTATATTTTTGTTAATTTTCTAAGCAAATTTGCTTAGAAATAATTTATAATTTAAAGAATATATATTTTAATTTAATTAATTTTATTTTAATCTATTGAACAATTCTAAATATTATTCAGAATAATATTACTAAATATCATCATATTTTATATATGATTATTTTGTTAATGCATAACATCTAGAGTAACTAATTGTAGATATAATAAATAATAACTAACTAATAGAAAATAACTAATTTAGACTAGTTATTATTATTTATTACAATATAATTTATTACATCAAGTAATAAATTATTAGGCATAATAATTATAGTTAATAATAAGAAGCAAACTAACTTATATATGCTATATATTATTTATCATATAGTAAATAATCATATCTAATATTGAATAAAGAATTGCTTATATTGTTTTAAATCAAAAATTAATTAAATAATTAGTTAATTAAATTAGTAACAAATTAATTAATAATTTATTAAACAAATAATTAATTATTAATAATTAATTAATTAACTAATTAATTAATTTATTTAATTAATTTAGTTAATAAATTAACTGGTTTTTTTATATAATATTTGCTTTAATCTTGTAATTAGTAGCTATTTAATTATATTAAGACATTTCTATATATTTTTAGCTAATTAATTAGTCAATTAATTAA